TCATTGTTGAAAAACCTAATGTACATGCTCAGTACATGCTCGGTACTGCTCAATATATGCTCGGTACCGCTCAGTACATGCTCGGTACTGCTCAATATATGCTCGGTACTACTAGGTACATACTCAGTACCACTCGGTATCTTCAATTGAATACCTGAGTCACCTTGTCTCATTTGGTAGTGTTCAGGTCGAACCCCACCAAGGGTTCATTAAAGAAGTGAATTGTGAAGGAGAATATAAGGATAAACATTTTATTGCCAATTTGATTAAAGAGGTGATAGTCATGATTGAATCTTCAAATGTTGTGCAGGTTATTACAGATAATGCACCGATGTGTAGAGATGCAGGATTATTGGTGGAGCAAACTTATCCACATATATTTTGGACACCCTGTGTTGTGCACACTTTAAATCTTGCTCTAAAAATATTTGTGCAGCAAAGAATACAGAGGCTAATAAAATCATCTATGCTGTATGTCATTGGATAACAGTGGTTGCATATGATGCTGTTCTGATCATAAATTTTATTCTGAACCATTCGATGAGACTTTCAATGTTTAATGATTTCTCCCACTTGAAAATGTTAGCTGCTGCTGAAACTCGTTTTGCCTCTGTAATAATCATGTTGAGAATATTCAAACAAATTAAAAATGCTCTTCAATCTATGGTGATTAGTGAGAAGTGGTCTAGCTATCGAGAAGATGATATTGAGAAGGCAAAATATGTTAAAGAAAGGTCTTAGATGATTTGTGGTGGGATAATGTAGACTACATTTTGGCTTTCACTGATCCAATTTATGATATGTTGAGAGAGGCTGACACAGATAAATCATGCCTACATTTGATTTATGAGATGTGGGACTCTATGTTAGCAAAAGTGAAAAAAATTATATACATATATGAAAGAAAGTCACATGATGAGACTCAAGTTTTTGGAGCATTGTCTATACCATTCTTAAAGATAGGTGGAGCAAAAGCAACACACATTTGCATTGTTTGGCTCATTAAATCCAAGGTATATTTATATTCATCTTTTAAATTAATTTAAATTTGTTGGTAAATGAACATATAATTTTATATGCTTTGTATTATTTGAAGGTATTCAAGTAAATAATGACTTCAAGAAGACCCTCAACGTGTCTCACTATAAAAAGATTTAAAAGTTTCAAATATGAGAAAGATATGCCGGAAAAGATATTTCCCAAATGAGGAGAAGAGAAGAAAAATTAATAAAGAACTTGCAAAGTTCTTTGAATATTTAGAGGATTTTGGTGATCAAGAATCTTTGGTTAATAGATGGAGGATAGATCCAAAAATGTGATGGTTGATTCATGGAGCTTCAGCACCGCTTTTTCAAACAATAGCAATAAAACTTCTTGGTCAAGTATCATTCTCTTCCTGTTGTGAGAGAAATTGGAGCACATACTCATTTATTCAATCAATGAAGAGGAATAAAATAACTCCACAACGTGCTGAAGATTTAGTTTATGTGCATACAAATCTTCGTCTTCTATCAAGAAAAACCCCACTTTATATGACAGGTGATAACAAGATGTGAGATGTTGTTAGAGATGGGTGTTCAAGTGCCTTGATGATATGGGATTATTGGAGGTTGCAAATCTTTCTCTAGATGAACCAAAGTTGGAAGCAATGATATTCAATGATGATGATATTGAAGGCCAAAGACCAACATCTGAATCTATTTCTATCATTCTCTCTATTGAGTAGTTGGACCTTCATATTGTACTAAATGATTTTTTACTTATATTTTTGTGGTTGTATTAGACATTTTGTACTAAACATCTTTATGTTATAAGCTAAACAAGTTATCATGAAATTGATTTATTATTGCTTGTCATTTTTACTATAATATCACCTTAATTTCTATATATTATATTAAAAAATTATTATGTCGTCCACGCCACACCCGTGTCCTATATTTTTAAAAATTGCCGTGTCACGTGTCCGTGTCGTGTCATGTCCGTGTCGCCGTGTCCGTGTTGGTGCATCATAGGGCGTGACGAGATAGGGTAAGAACGAAGATGTGCTGATTTGAAGAGGCGAAGGACGAGATTGGAAAGGGATTTGGGTAATTATGTCAATGGGGGCAGAATTTAAAAGGGGAAGAGTTCGTTATGATCCAAGGGGTGCTGAATTTGAGAGAAGGTGGAAATTTGATGAAAGGTTTGGGTATGAATGTAGAAGAGATGATTGTGACACTTGGGGGGAACCATACCCTTGGGGGATGAGAAATTATGGTGGGAAAAGAGAGACGGAGGTGCTCCGAGGGTGAGGAAATTGAAGATGCCAATCTTTGAGGGGGTGTATGCGCATGGGTGGATCTACAAGGTTGAAAGATACTTCGCCGTCGATGGGTTGACAAAGGATGAGAGACTGGCGTTAGCAGGCCTATGTTTGGAAGAGAAAACTTTGGCTTGGTACCAATGGAGGGACATGGGATGACCCATCCGGAGTTGGAAGAAGTTCAAGGATTGTTTGATAGAACATTTTCGAACCGGCAGGGGAGGAGACTTCTACGAGCAATTCTTCAACTTGATACAATATGATTTAGTGATAGAATATTGGGAGAGGTTCGAATACCTTTCTAGCTGATTGGACCGCCTTTCTAAGACAGTGCTATAGGGGAACTTCATAAAGGATTGACGCCAGAGATCCGGACATCGATTAGAGTAATGAGGCCTCGTAACTTGGGAGAGGCTATGAAGCTAGCTTAATATGTAGAAGATCAGAGACACCTCGAGAGAGAGAGAGATAGGAGACAACAGCTCAAGAGGCCCGTACAGAATGACCACCACCTTATTGAAATCCAAGGAGCCAACACCGAATACTTTTCAAGGGACTTCGAAGGAAAAGACTGCAGAAGGAATACCTGGGGACAACTTCAAGAAGCTCACAGAGGCGGAATTACAGGAGAAGAGGGCGAAGGGGCTCTATTTCAGATGTGACGAGAGTTATACGCCAGACACAAGACCGAACTCTTCAGGTTCTTACCGTTTGTGATGAAGAAGGAATGGAGGACATCATCTTTCCACCTTGTGGACAAGGTGATGGATCTTTGGGATGAGAGTATTGTTAGACCGGTCCAGCCGGTCCACACGGGATCGGCCTAGGCGAACAGAGGTGGAAGTTCCGCCTCTCTCGCAGAGACCGAGCGGATCGCAAATCTCCACAGAACTTTTTAGGAAGGATTTTTGAGAAAGTTTAGGAGGAAAATTAAATGTAGGGACTGTTTAAAGATTTCCTTTTGAATTATATGCATTAAATAGTTTGTTCTCCTAGGTTTCAGACATCTTGAATTTGGGCTGAATTTGGGATCTCTTAGGTTTAGATTTCTTTTGGGCTCTACCGATGTCTAGAGGTTTGGGAGAGATAGATCCTCCTCTTGAATAGAGGATCAATTGTATCTTGCTTTCTTTTTCTTCTACTAGTGAATTTCAAGTGTTTTCCCTCAGATTTTCCAATAAAATTACTGTTTTTGCTGTTTTCCATTGGAGTTGTGGATTGTTTTTGCTGTTTTTACCAAGCGTTAGGTTTTACTTGAAATATTCAAGTACTTCCTATCAGAAGGAAGCAAAAGAAACCACAACATCACCACAAACAGCTGCAGCAAGCTCTCAGCCATAGACTGCAAGTCAACCAGCCCCATTCCACCCATTCAGGGCTGGTCCAGCAACCTAATTAATTTCTGCTCTTAATAAATAGTTTATTTTTTTATTTTTCTGCATGTTCATAAAAAAGTCAACTGCTCCAAAAACACTACAAACCCTTCCAGCCGGCCCCTAACATTTTTAAATACCCAAAGTTGCTGTAATTGAAGGTTATGGAATAAAAATTCTGCTTCTTCTATTTCTCCATTTGTTCTATAAAAGGAGTTTTCACCAACTTGGAAGGTGTTTACTCTTTTGATTCATCAAGAAGCATAACACGTGCACTCCCCATACTGCGATTAATTAGTTCTACTAATGTTTTTTACAGCTAACTTCAAATGTTAGGTTTAATAGAACTATCAATGATGGAGTGCAATAATTAAATTTCATTAAATGACCTTTTAGGCTTTAAACTCTCAAATATGCTGAAGTGAATTTCATATGTCAGTTCCAATACGGTCTAATGCTTACCTTTTTTATCGTATAAAGGTAAAACTTCTTAATTAATCCCATTATCCATTTAAAATGGTGTGCTCCATCCGTTAAATCTCATATCACTTACAACTAGGGCCTAGGGGTTCATTTGGTTGCTTGGAAGTAAGAAAACATGTTTTGTAAAATCATGAATTTGCTAGATTTCATCATTTCGTTGGTAGATATGGCTAGAAACCAACAATGGTAAATTCTACAATCACCTTAACAACTATCAAAAGTGATGATTCCACTTTCAAACCAAAAAAGGGGGAAAATGAATCATTATTTTCAAAAAAACATATTTTTTTATTTACAAAGAACTGAATAAGCCTTAAGTTAGACAATAGATGGTAGTGCAACTACAAGTATAACTCTCTCAAGTTAAATGATAGCACGTTTCTGTACATCTACAATATGTAAACTCATGACAAAAACACTTGCCACATATTTGCTAGCTACCAAGATAATGCAGTCAAGATATAACTTAGTTAAAAACTATAATATGTGAGGATTAACTTAAATATGAAGCTACAGCTCATTAATTCACTTAAAAGCTCCAAAGACAAGCAGTCATAATTTCCTTGATGTCAAAAGAAAATTAAAGCACACTCTGAAAGCACAAATAAAAGTCATATAGCAAAACAAAAAAGACATCCACATGGAGGTAATGAAAACCCTTGTAGTCGGAGGTCCGAAAGGAGAAGCAAATTGCATAATTCGAAATATTCTATACAACATTAACTATGCACCAAGACTTAAAAACCAAACTCACATCAGAACAGTCTAAAAGTAAATACACGGCTGTTCTAAGAATCATCAAGCAAACAAAACCAATCGTTATACATTTGCAAATAAAGCACCTTTGTGGAGACGCAACTCTCCAGCACTTTGCTTCTTTATAGGAGGTCTTCCATTGGCACTTTCTGCATCTTGATTTTTCTTGTCCTTGATTTTAAACAGATTTATCATGTTCTACAAAAACAATACAAAGAAATTAGAATCATTCCAGCGGCATGAAAAGAAAAACAAAGAATTTAAGAATATTATGAGTGCAATAAGTTTATGAAGTAGACTGCAGACCCTAAGAGCACTACATCAGCTAGATAGATCTAAATATATATGTTCCAATTGATTAAAGAGCAAAATCAAAATACAATCATTGAAAATTTGGCCTTCTAAGAATAAAACAAAATCTATAAATTTGTTTGGGTCTATTTGGTTTGATGGAAAGTGAGTATAAAGAATACCAAATGTAAGGGCTTTAGGAATCGTGGTGTTTAGTTTGATGGAAAATAAATGAAAGTAAAATTCTCATAAATTTCAAATTTCCTCTAGCATTTTGACTCGCCAGTTTCTAACTAAATTACAAATACATTGCAACTTGATTCCACTATCATCGCCAATTGCCAACTGCTGCCACCCGCCACCCACCACCACCGCCATCACCCACTGGCCGTTGTTGATGCCCGTCACTAACCACTACTACCACACAAACCCATCTAATGAGATCCATCTCCTTACTCCTAACACTACAGTTGATGAAAATCTTTATGTTTAATTTTATCCAAAGTATCATATAAAAATTAATTGCAATGGCATTTATTTATTTTCTTTTATTATTTAATCCATTTCATTTATTACTACTATATTAAAGAACATGCTAGTGATTATGGTCAATAAAGACTGTATTTAATTTCCTAATTTAATGTTAGTTTATCTTGTTGTCATTATTTTAGTCTGGATTCAATTTAGGTTTATTCCTATAAGAGATTAATGCTCAAATCGTTTGTTATCGTTTGGATTATGATTGGCATTTTTTTGTCTAAGGCAGTGGTACTATAGAGTTATTTGGATCATATGATTTTGAAATCCCCAATGGGTTATAGTAAAGTCTTTGGCATTTCATTTGTGCGTAATTGTAGGTTCTTTGTTTCTGGAAATGAGATCTGCATTAGGGAATTTTTTGTCGTTGTTAACTTATTTGGAAATTTAAAAATAAATTGGGAATTAATTTAAACTTCAATTGGGATTGATCATATGCCATATCTACTTAGGTACAAGAGTCTAGAAATAGTTAATATGAGGCATGGGACAGATAATTTTTCTCTAAAATAAATTTTCACTTTCTAGTTTCATACTTGTGATTGTAAGTTAGATGTGATTCTTTTAAGTGCAGCACAAGTGCAATTATCTGATTTCAAAAGAAGTAATCTCCTTATACCAATCTGAGGACTAGTTTTTTCTTGCATTGATATTTTTGTTCTTTATTTTATTTTATCTACATAATTTGCTATTAATTCCTACAATACTCCCAATTTTGTTAAAAAAGTGACACATCAAAAATCCAATCACAGAAATTAAATTCAACTTTATCATTCAAAAAATGATTTCGATTTTTTCATGAACTAGTTTAAAACTCTAATAGTGCTTGTTTACTTAATTGGTAACTTATGATTTGCAAATCCTCATTTTCTTCATGAAAACATAACACGCACCATATCAATTGTATTAGGAAACATGCATCTAACTATATTGGAGTTTAGGTTGTGTTACAATCTCACTTAACAGTAAGCTAATTATCAAGATAACTTAACAAATAACAGATGTGATGGGACTCTAACTACTTCAAAACAACAATTAAATGAGTTGCTAAATAAGCTAAATCAAACATGTGATGAATTATTTTAGCAAAAATAAGATTTGATAATTAGGAAGCTAATCAATTTTCATTTGTGTGAACCTAAAGTGAATTGTAATCACAACAATGAACCAAATCATTTGAAGGTTAATTATGATAGCAGACAAGGTAATCATCCTTGTAGACAATTTAGGGCCTTTAACAATGATGCTTGTAAAAATTATTGATGTCAATTCTGACAAAAGACAACAAAAAAAGTTAAAGTAGAAGTGCTTACTTATGATGATAATTTAAAAAATCTATTTATAGACTCCTCATCCTTAGGATAGTAGATATGGTTAGCACAAAAATCCCAATCTGAACTAGATAACCTTCAAGTTCATAATTCAAGATCATCCAAAATTAAAATTTAAATAATTACAAAAAAAAAATCCCTCGACATTCCATAAATAGGAAGTGTGTGAAGAACAATAATAGTACCCGTAAGTGGCATATAAACAATAATAGTACCATGAGAATAGCTATAGTCCTAGTAAAATAGAACTTCAGTCTCACGGCATTTCCCAAAATTCTTCAAGCCTTGATTTATGATCAAAATTCGACAAAAAATAAATAAGAGTCTCCACATCTGTAATAAGAATCTTATACATTCCATAAAATATCTTGCATGACTTAGATTTCCCTTACTTAAACAACCATAATGACATAAGGTAAAATAACCATAACAAATACTGGAATCCTAAAGACATAAAATAACACAAATATCTATCATAAAAATCAAATACAACACGTGTGTTAACATCATCAAGTCTCGATGAAAAATCCATGTACATCACAAGGGAAAAACTAAATCAATCCTTAAAGTTCTCAAGTATTTAACAACAACAATATCATCAACCCTTTATCCCACTACATGAGGTCGGCTACATGAATCCATTTTCTCCATTATGTCCTTTTAAAAGTCAAATTATCATTTATATCTAATAAAGAAATGCCATTTCTAATATTTTCTAACCAAGTCTTTTAAGGTCTACCTCTACCTTTCTTAATAGGTCAAATCTAATGCATCTACTCTTCTAATCGGGTCATCGGAAGGCCGCCGTTTTATGTGATCAAACCATTCAAAGCAACTCTCTCTAATCTTATCTGCCACTGGAGCTACTCCAACCTTTTCATGTATATGCTTGTTACATATCCTGTCTCTAAGAAAAATGCCACTCATCCACCTGAGCATCATCATCTCTGCAACACTTAACTTAATATTATGCTTTTCTTTTAATGGCCAACATTCTACATCATAAAGCATTGCAGGTCTAACCACAATCATATACAATTTTCCCTTAAGTTTGAGTGGTACTTTTATATCACACAACAAGCCCAATGCATTCCTCAACTTCAACCATCCAACTTGAATCCTACTAATAATATCCTTATCTATTTTATCATCACTCTAAACAATAAGCCCAAGATATCTAAAAGGTGTACTCTTATTAATGACTTGATAGCTCAAAGTCACAAACCCCCACTATATCTATTACTACTAAAATTACACTCAATGTATTCAGTTTTAGATCCACTCAAACGAAAACCTTTAGACTCTAAGGTTGACCTCCATAATTCAATTTTACCTTCAACTCCCTCTTTAGTCTTATCAATAAGAAGAATATTGTCAGCAAAAAGCATACACCAGGGAACATCCTCGTGCAAATCTTTAGTAAGAACATCCATGACTAAAGAAAAAATATATGGGCTTAAGGTTGATCCTTGATGTAATCCAACTGAAATTGGAAAATACTTGATCAAACCACCTTGTGTTTGCATACAAGTAACAACTCCAGCATACATATCTATAATGACTTGAATATAAGCATTATTAACCACTTTCATTTTTAGAACTCTCCATAGAACTTCTCTTGAAACTTTTATCATAAGCTTTCTCTAAATCCATAAATATTATAGGAGGATACTCCTTATTCTCTCTATACTTCTCCATCAAATCTTTCAATAAATATATGGGTTCCATAGTAGACCTACCCGGAATGAATCCAAATTGATTTTGAGAGTATCACATCGTAATCTATGCTCAATATCTCTCTCTTAGTTTGAAAGTATGACACATCAACTTAATTCCTCTATAATTCGCACAATCATGGGCATCAATCACCTTTATTTTTAAAAATAAGAATCAACACACTTATTCTCTACACATCTAACATCTTTTTAGTCTTCAAAATAATAGAAAAAGTTTAGTAAGCCAAGAAATTATTTCATCTCCTAAGCATTTACACACTGCTATTGAATATCATCAGGTCCAACAATTTTCTCACACTTCATTTTCTTTACAGTCTCTCTAACTTCAATTTTAGTAATATGCCGATAAAAAACAAAAATCTCTATTTTTATTTAGAGTGCTAAGGTCACTAAAGTCAATCGTATTCTCACAATCTTCATTGAAAAGCTTAGTAAAATATCTCAACCACTTCTATTCAATATCCTCTCCAAAAAAAGTACTTTTTGATCTTCATCCTTAATGCACTTCACTTGAACTAAATCCTTACTACTCTATCTCTTTGTTTGGCTAGCTTATACATATATCTTTTGCCCTATTTAGTATCTAATATATTATATAAATCATTAAAAGCTAAAATCTTTGCATCGCAGATTGCTTTTTTAGGCTCTATACAAGAAACTTTATATATTTCCCACTTTTTAGAGTTTTTCTATCTAAACCAATTTTTATAACAGAGTTTTTTTTTATCTTTTCTTGCAAATTTTGATTCAATCACCAACTATTTTTACTATTAGAAGCTTTTTCTTTTGATAATCCAATTACATCCTTTGCAACAATCTTAATAGTACAAGCCACTATTTCCCACATAACATTAGCTTCCTCATGTACTGATAAAATCTAAAGATTGTGTATCTTACTCTAAAAGATATTTTTGTTATAGTTCTTTAAATACCAGCATCTAATCCTAAAATAACGATATAGTATATTTTTTATATTCCGCTCTTTCATCTTAAAGTCCAAAACTAATAAGTGATGTTGGATACATAAACTTTCACTTAGAATAACTTTACAATATATGTAATCTAAACCATCTATTTTTCTTATAAAAAAATAATCAATATGAGTTTTATTATATACATTCTTATAAGTGATGAGACACTCATTTTTTTTCTTAAATAAGATAATAGCCATTACAAAATCATAAGCTAGAGCAAAATCTAAAATAGTCTTACCACCTTCATTAGGCGCTCTAAATCTAAAGTCACCATAAATGCTTTTAAAATCCTCTACCTCTCCATCAACATGCCTATTTAAATATCGCACAATAAAAACTTTTTTTTCAAGGGGTATCTTTTATATTATTCTTCTAAGTTATTTCGAAAATTTAATTTTGAACAAATATCCAGACCTACTTGAGAAGCATAAGCATTTATAATATTAATAATTTTATCATCAACAATAATCTTCAAAGCTATAATTATATTTCTAATTCTATCAATTTTTACAATATAATCTTTCAAACTCTTATATGTAATCACACCTACACCATTTCTAGTACGACTTATATCAGAATACCAAAGTTTAAACCTTAAACTATCAATCTCCTTAACCTTCTTTCCTACACATTTAGTTTCTTGAAAGCATGGAATATTTATCTTCCTATGAATCATAATATTAACTAATTTCATTAATTTGTCTGTAAAGAACCTACATTCCAATATCCTAACCTAATTTTAGTTTCATGACTAGCTTCTTCGCCCATATCCGTCCATGATGTGGGAACCCTTGTGTATTTAACACTGCATCCGGGCGCCGATGTAGCGGCCCTTGCACATTTCTCACTGTATTCAGGTCATACAGCACGTCGCTTCCCGGTAATGCCCTAGCATTAACACAATGCATTAAAGGATTCATGTCATGATTATTCGAAAGTTCTATGTGGGCTGTTGACTACCTAACGCAACCCTCCACTTTTATCATCCAGGACTTGGGACCTCACAATGGCAGTGTTTTCTCAAGTATTTAACAAATAAAATAAAACCTTAGTTAAAACTATACACTAGCATAACATTCCAAAGAGATTTTCGAGTATTTTTGGGCCATTGCAGTTGTTTGTAAAAATAATTGTAGAACTACTATAAAAAAATCTAATCTTTTTAAAGCTATTGTATGCATTATAGATTATTTCCCTTTTGAAAAAAATAGGACAATGGTTTTTTTAGAGCTACCACACTCTAGCAAATCTGATTATAAAAACTGCTTCACAACATAAGAATTTTTAAAAGTAGCAAGAAAATTGTAACTAAATAGAAGCATGTCAACTATCAAAATATCAAAAAGTTGCCTTGCAAACCCTTAACTCCCCATTAAATATGGGCAACAATCAAATTCATTTCCTAATTTTAGATATTTTAGATGGGTCATGATCTAACGTTCTCATTCTCATTATTCCTAATGAAACTTTCATAAATTAATATCTCCAAACTTCATAAGTTTCAAAAAAAATTTCATAATTTGAAACCTCAAAAATTTGTAAGTTCATGTTTGTCATTCTAGTCCCCCTCTATTAGATTTCAGTAAAGAAACAGAACTGAATGAAAGATATTCAACAACACTAACCTACACAAAATGAATACTTATGTGATTTATTATCTTCCTTTTTGTCATACAGTAATTTGGAGCAAAAAATTGCAAGTTTAACTAAGCACACGCTTCGAATGGCGGCAAGGAGGGAGATTTTCTCAACTTATACCACCATGCCAACCCATCATGCGTCATACAACATATTTGATAACAAAGATTCTCTGCAACTTTTACACATCTAAATGATTAAAAATAGGCATACAATAATTGTATCTTAGCACTTCTTACAAAACATTATAGATAAATAGGTATGAATTTCTATACTTGCCTCATGTCTGGGTCGAAAATCTATGATGCATAGCAAGATAAACTTTAATCCAATCTTTAATATTCTCTAACATTTAGCTAAAAAAAAACTTGCCTTAATTCAGCCTATACACTGGCATATGATTCAAATAAAGAATTTTTCTTTTAGAAGACAAGGTGAAACATACAATTGTACAGTCTAAATACTAGATATTTGAGATGCGTCACCATCCAATAGTCTAATTCTCCTTGAGGGGCTGTTTGGTATCGGATTTATGTTGGGATTTAAGTCGGATTTACGCTAAATCCAGCCAAACGGTTTTTATTGCATAAATTAATTATCTAGATTTAACTTAATTGTATAATTAGTAATTAATATTAATATAATTAGCTTAATTAATATAACTTAAAATATATATATTATTAAGTATATAATTAATAGTGTAATTAATAATTAATAAGTACTTTGTACATAATATATTATTAAATTCATAACACATTAATTTTGATTTTTAATTATACATTTATTTTTAAATTTATAATTATTTTCTTCACATTTAAATCTCTAACTATCATAAATCTTGAAATATGTACCAAACAGTTTCTTAAAATTTAACAGGATTTAACATTTGACATATCAAACAGTTTTCAGGATTTAACACATTTTGGATTTACTAAATTCAGATTTACAGGATTTACTAAATCCTACTAAAGTTAAATCTCATTTGTTGCCAAACAGCCCCTGAGAGTTCTAATAAAAAGCCCATAAATAAAAATCTCAAGAAAATAAAAATAATAAAAAAACTTGGACCTTCCAGCTTTTCTATCTAGTCCCACTTTATTTCTAGCACTAGACATCTTGTCCATACCAACATATGATCTGATTCTACATAATTCATCAACCAAGATTCAAGACAGAAATTCGGACAAGAAGTTTATGACTCCATTAACGGATCACGACCATTTTGCTGGTTGCATAACATTTTGATTCAAGAAATTAAGGAGCACCCATCTTTATTTCGAATTCAACCGAACAGAATTGAAACTATCATCTTATTTGCTAATCAGACAAAAAATAACACTTTCTTGGCTCTTCCCTCGTAAACGCCAATCTAAACTCGTTAAAAATAGTAAATTAGCAGCGTTTTTTCATAAAGAAAACCTAAGCCCACCCGATCTCCGATCAAAGAGAGCAAACCCCCAAAACAAACGATCTACGCGAAGAGGCAACGGGTAAGCGATAGGTAAAGATAGCCAAAAAGACTGACCTCTGCAGTAAGAAAGCGAGAGTCTGCAGTAAGCTTTCAGGGCAACCGACGGCTGGGAAGAGGATCGTGGAGGCGCAGGAAATATCAATACAGAAACGGATCGGAGCGTGCAGGCAGGAAAAGGGAGATTAGGGGGGCTGGAATTCGCAGCGATGGAAAAGGCGAAAAAAAATCAGAATAAAGGTACAATGTCCCGTCTGGCATCAAAACTCTATTTTCCAGCCTATTCTGATTGAGAAATTTAGCTCTCATTATATGATTATAGGTTCAAATTTTATAATTTATGCAAATTTAAGATTATTTTTTTTTTTTCATAAAATTTAATTTGTTTGAGTTGAACTTAATTTTCTATTGCTTGTCTTTTTCTAATTGATTGCATTTTTTATACTTTTCTTATAATAATAATATTATTTCCCAAAAAAAATATTTTTTTTATAATTAGGTCATGATGTATGATAATTATAAGAACTATATTATCTTTTTTTAAAAGGAAAATTTTGATAAGAATTAATTTTTTTAAAAATATGATTTTGGCACAAAAATTATACATGTATTTTATCAAATGAATATTCATATATTTAAACTGAATTTTGCCCGTGGGATTTGGGGGTTATAGTTGTCTTTAAAAATAGTTGTAGAATTATTATAAGAAAAATATTTTTTTCTTAATTATTAAGGGTAAGAATTTTTAAAATTGGACTAGATCGGTCAGTTCAATTGGTTGAATCGTGAACCAGTCGGAATGCATCCCAAAATCGAGAAAAAAAAAACATGAGTTGAACTGGTCGGCTTGGCAGTCGGATTGTGAAACTAGGGAACCGGTGCATGTTTTGAAAAAACCATTAGGTTCAGTTAGAACGTAATATGAGCCATAGGATTTCGATCGAGTGGCATTTGAGGAATAACCTCGAACTAAAAGCCTAATATTATGACTCCCTTCCCTGACATGTTTTCTCCTGTTTAGTTTTAACTTGGAATTCTCATCTTGATAGCTACATTCAATTGTTTTGATATCACACTCATTGATAGCTACATTCAATTCTATGAAACTTCTCTTCTCGTTAATGTATGTCTTCCTAGTTGTTGTTGTTTGCCCCTCTCTATATAATTCATAGTTTTATTTCTTTTTAATTATAAAACATGCTCATTATTAGTTTGGTGATTTTAAATTGTGTGTTTAAGTTTAATTGCTAAAATTGATAATCATATTTGTTGAATTTGAGCTTTGTATGTGCTGAAATTGCATTTATTTTTTGCTAAAATTAATCAAATGTGTTAAAATTAATTCTAATATTTGCTAAAATCAAAGTTATATTATTATGTTAATTTTTATTAATTTTTAATATTATTATTATTTATAATGTCATCTAGTTTGAGCCTGATTCAACCCGTCGAACTGATTGAACCGTAAAACTCTCCTTGTTATGGTTTATTGTCCGGCCCAATTTTCACAATGTTGATTAAGGGTATTATAATTTTTTTTTCTTATTTAAAAATCAAACCACATTTTTTTATAATTATTATACCCTAATAAATTTAGTTATTATTTTGTCTTGGAGTATTTGCAGCGGTAGAGAAATAGTTTAACGTCTTAATGTTGTACGAAGATCCAGCACACAATCAGATACGAGAGAGGGTGTAATGTTCATAAGAGACACCAGAGTTTTTACGTGAAAACCCTTGAAATGGGGGAAAAATCATGGGGCCTGGCCCAGTTTGAATGAATCCACTAGTATTTGTAGTCGATTACAAATGAGGCCCTTCCTTGGGAGAAGGCCTTGGCTTGATGATACAAATGTACATCATATAGAGCGCATTACATGATGGGAGTTACAATATAGACATGTTTGTTTGGTCGGCACGACCATAGTCAATAGGATGGAGGCTAGAAAGACCGTTGTCTGGTAATGGAGGTCGAAAGGACCATAGTAGGAGACGGAGGTCGGAAGGACCATTATAGGTGATGGAGGTCGGAAGGACCGTAGTCGGCAGGAGACCGGGGTCAGAAAGATCGTTATCTGGTGATGGAGGTCAGAAGGACCATTGTAGGTGACGGAGGTCAGAAGGGCCGTAGTCAACAGGAGACCAGGGTCCAAAAGACCGTTTTTTGATGATGGAGGTCGGGAGGACTATAGTAGGCAACAGAGGTTAGAGGATCATAGTCGGTAGGAGATAGGGGTCCGAAAGATCGTATTGACAGGAGATCGGGTTCATAAAGACCGTTGTAGTAGGGCGGTCCGGCAGAAGTCCGGGTCTCAGTTGGTGGCCCAGCAGAAGTCTGGGCATCAGGTGGTGGTCTGATAGAAATCTGGGCCTGAAGTGTTGGTTCGGTAGAGAAACGACGTCAGGCGGTGGTCCAGCAGAAGTGAGGGCCTCAAGTGGTGGTCCGGCGGAGCAATGATGTCAAGCGGTGGTTCGGTGGAGGTGAGGGTATGAAGTGGTGGCTTGATGGAGCTCAGAGCTTTAAGTGGTGGTCCGACAGAGCAACGATGTAAGGCGGTGGTCCAGCGGAGGTGAGGGCCTCAAATGGTGGTCCTACGGAGCAACAATGTCAGGCGGTGGTCCGGCGGAGATGAGGGCCTGAAGTGGTGGTCCGACGGAGCAACGACGTCAGAAGGTGGTCCGATGGAGGTGAGGGCCTCAAGTGGTGGTCTGGCGGAGCAACGACGTCAGGTGGTGGTCCGGCGGAGCTGAGGGCTTCAAGTGGTGGTCCGGCGGAAGTCCGGCGATGGTCGAGGAAGTGCTTCGTCCTTCTCTTCTTCATTATTCTCCTCTTCCTTCGGTACCCTTATCAAGTGAAATGAGGGGTTTATTTATAGATTTCTGAAGTGGCATGGCCCGTAAATAGGTAAGAGATCAAGGGTAACTGGGGAGTGGTTGGATGGACGACCAATATTGAATCCCTTGATCATGTACCGTTCATTAGTCATTTGAAGGTCTTAGATGTCGGAATTCGCCGAGCTTGGGCTCGTTGGATTCATCTTGTCAAGCCACTCGATTTGATTATAAGAATGTCATGTTTGGAAACCGTTTGGTAACCCAAATTGTGGTTCAAACCATCCAATAACGCTTCGGGTCCTTGATTTGGACTCATTTGGGCTCGGATTGAGTTGAATTTGGTGTCGTTGGGTTCATATTTCCGAGTCATTCAGTTCGATTGTAAGTTTATTGAAATTGGAGTTTATATGGTCCCAATTTTAATTTTGGAAATTTCCAACTTGATTTTGCATCGAGATTCGTGCCGATCAAGATAATTTTTTGGTAACGTATCAGTTGCCCCCCTATTTTTGGACGTCGAAACTTGTAGAGTCCGAAAATATATAGTACAACTCTTAAAAATTGATTGAATTGTAAAAAATGTCAGAAAATTCTTTTCCGAAAAATGTAAATTTGCACAAACTCAATCAGTTATAAAAAGTCAACTTCAACTACAAAAATTTTAACAAGGCAATGAGAATATTATTGCTAAATAGTAGATTAATTGATAGTTGTCTTAAAAAAAGTATTAAAAAGTTTCCCCAAAATGAAGCCCTATTTGTTAACTTTACCTAGCAAATTTGGTCATATTATATTAAAATTCAGTCTACTTGATATCTTAACCAAATAACTATTTTTAAAGGGGCATAATATATGCAAGGAGAATTAACTATGTATTTTCAAAATAGTATTGCTACATGTAAAATCATATTTGCTTAGGTCAAATTAATTAATCAAATCATTATGAGAATTTGAACCAATTTAAGAAATTAATAAAGAAAAATCTACTTGACAAATTTCATTTAACATAGACTTATGGCATGAGTTTTCTTCAAAGAAAAGTAAATCTGAAAAATTTTATAGAAAATATATTATATTTTATTCAAGAAAATAAGTAAATATTATATTTAATTAACATATTTTACTTGGGGTTTTTAGCTAGTCTTTAATTATAAGGTGTTGATAATTATAATATGTAAACAATTATATATACAAGGCAATCAATAACAATTAGCAACTATATGTTTACTCTCTTTTATATAATTAATGAATGCATAACAAGAATTACATTAAATCTTAAACATGTTTAAGAGTGAGCAAAAAGTCAAGCCCTAAAAATCATACTACCCTTTGTGTTAATCTTCACGTTACAGATTGAAGCATGTTATAAAAATTACTATCTTTTAAAATGATATTATAAGGACAAGAGGACGAGTAATACTTGGGAAGACTACTGATGTAATAACTCAATTTTTTTAAATGGTTTTTCTTAATGAAATTTTAAATTTTAGCATTGTGCCTTGCCAAAGAAGGAAGAGAGAGAGAGGAGAGAGAAGGTTGTTCGGAGCTTTTTCGTCCGTCAATTTTATTCAAATATTTCTCCTTTTGTTATAAGTAACCTAAATCTCATGTTAGTTTTCAATGATTTTGAGTTTTGATAGATTTCTTCTATTCTAAATTGATAAAAATGTATTTTCTCATTATTTATGGAGTTTTTAACATATAACTTTTTGTATATATATAATGGATATGAATATTATGAACATTTTGACCTCAACATCATTGAATTTCATCTGGTATGATTTTTTGAAGTTATATATATATACATAGATTTTTTAGTACTAAATAGAATTGATTATTTCATATTGTATTTGATTGTGACATTTGCATAAGTAAGAAAGATTAGCTGTTAACATAATAATATAGGATGGCTGTTAAAACATAATAACCTGTGTAGGAGGGTGGGCCGATGAGTTTTCCTTTAAAAAGTTTGTGATGTTATCCCACTTGTAGCTTGTAACAAAAGATTGAATTAAGCCGACGAATATATAGAGGGTGACAACTTTTAATGATTATTGAAAGCCGCCTATAATAATGATGATAAAAGATGAAAGATAATGATATAAAGAAAGAACAAATGAAAAAGGAAGAAAATACTACATTAAAATTTGATATCCTGCCTTATTGAACCATATACTAATTAATGCATGCATATTCTGATGGCATAGATAAATAAAGTAGTAATATGTGTATATATATAATATATGCATGAATATAAGTATTGATTGCATATAATTGATAGGATGGATGTAAGAGGATAAGATCGATAATATTGACACATGTATGCCTATAATTCTTTTTATTGACACTTGAATGATTATAGCACCATTATTTTACTTATTCACAAAATCTTATGCATGTTATTCACTCTTATATTCATTATAATGATTTTTCTATTTTTGTTATTGATCATTTTGAGCT